AGGATCCCTCTGTTCTCCAGACAATGATCGCCTCTTTTTTTCTTTTCTTTACAGCATGACAGAGCTGGAAAAAGATATCGGAAACCTGCGCAGCGGCTTAAAGAGTGTAGAGAGTGTGAGACAAACATTAACCTTACTCTAACACCTTTTCTATGATTTCAAACATGAATTCAGTTGCCACAATGTTGCCACATTGTTTTGTAATTGATTTCAAATGGCAGGAGCTGGAATTTCAGAAGAAACGCCCGCAGGAACCGGGCGATAAGTTTGTGTCCGTGGTGAGCCAGTTCATCACGGTGGCCAGCTTCAGCTTCTCTGACGTGGAGGACTCCCTAACTGAAAGCAAAGAACTGGTGAGTCAGTCAAACTGAAATGTTGGATTTCTAACTAAAACTGAATCGCATCAGAATTGCATCACTATCTGTCCTCTGGTTTCCTATCGGCTCAGCAGTTTTCATGCATTTCTTTAAAACTCATCAGTCACCTCAACAGGAAATTTGAACAGCGGGAGTGAGATGTTCCTGCTTCCTGCTGCCGAACTCCTCATATGTTTATTGGTTTGACAAACAGGAGCCCAAATTCAAGACTATTTCCCAGTGTAATTACAACCGTCAGCTGTGTTAGCATGATGTATCAAGGATGCTGCTAAAGTACGAGCAGAACAGGCAGTTTAATGGGTTGTAGAACTGACTTAATAATTAGAGCTTAAAACCAGTAGTGTTCCTTTTATTTTCCTCTTATCTGAAATTGGCCTCACACTGCTAGATTTATGCCTGTTTTGTCCATAAATGTGCATTTAAACTTACTTTAAAATGTATAGAGAAAATTATATATATTCAAGATATAAGAAGGAAGAAAAAGATGATGACTATGTAAAAATCCTTTCAAAGCTCCTTTGATCTACCTTATGGTTATAGGGCTGCTGTAAACGTCTTGTTTTTATATTCTCAGCATGATCCTGCATCTGGATGGTCTCCATTTTTACTCACTGTTCAAAACACCCAACAAACACACTGCCTTAATTTGGGCTCTGGCTCCAGCCCCCCGACCTCTGCTCTAATCAGTAGCCGGCCATATCTATACTAGCATGGGCTTCAAAGCTCCAAGCACTGCTCCCCTGCTCTGGTTTCAAAGGCCGGAGCCTTAATGAGTCTCCTGTAAAACAGTAAAAGACAGAGGAAGATGTGAGTGCCACAGTAAATCTAATTCCCTGCGCCCCTCTCTGTGTTCCTCTTCGCTTTGGTCCTGCAGTTCCTGAGGGCAGTGAAGCACTTTGGGGAGGATGCCGGCAAGATGCAGCCAGATGAGTTCTTTGGCATCTTTGACCAGTTCCTGCAATCCTTCAGTGAGGCTCAGCAGGAAAACGAGAACATAAGAAAACGAAAGGAAGAGGAGGAGCGCAGGGCCAAAATGGAAGCTCAGGTGTGTGACATGATATACTGCCAAAATTGAATTTAAGCACATTTATGAAAACACACACACATCCACTTAGAACATGCACACATTACGCAGGAAAATCACTCTAGTTGCACCATTTTATTTGTTGTTTTATGATTCTTTTTTTAGGGGAAAATTATAAAATAACTTGGTGCACAACTTTGATTTCTTTTTTTTTTTTTACATTATCGCTTTTTCTCAGATAGTCAGAATTATACATTCAGTTTCACTTCCATACAATTATCTCCTCTAATATTTGGTTAAATGCCATTACACAGTTCTGCAATTATGCTGGAATTACTTTATCTAGAAACTGAAAATTTGTGGTGATGTAATCTGTAATATATCTGAACCTTTTACAGGGTTTATACAGGAATGAGGAACTCTAATTTAATGTTTTTTTTATTTAATGCTCTTAGAAATAATTTTAATGCAATAAACAAGTACTCATGACTCTCATATATATATATATATATATATATATATATATATGGAGAAACAGTCCGATGAAAACCGTTCGGTTCGACTATCTCGGTTCGATTCGCGTGTGTTGCGTTCGGTTCATGCGCGGCTCCTTTTTCTCATAGGCGAAGTGATTACACTCCAGAGCAGAAGGTGGCGGTACTGCGACCAAAGCCAACCACCAGTAGTAAACAAGAACAAGAAGCGAAGCAGCGTAGCCGGGTGTAGCAGAAAAAAATCAGTTGTTGTGGAGAATTGTGTGGGTATGGCGAGTGGAAAAGAACAGGAGTTGGAAGACGCGTGGCCAGATGTCCAGCTTTAGGGCGGACAGTCCGCATTTTCATTGCACTGTCGGGCGTCCGGC